ATATACTCCACTTAAAGGTATTGTATTTATTCCCTACCTTTTTTCTCCTTCTCTGGTCTCCATGCATCTTCTCGGCTCCTGTCTGCTCCTTTGCTTTCGTCTCCTCTCGTCTCCTCTCCCTTCTTCTTCTCTAGATAGTTTCAAAGGAATATTCGTATTTATATTCTTGTATGGCCTCGCGCAGTCTCGATCACATTCTTTATCATTTATCAGTGAACGGGTGTATTATACTGTTTCCACAGTATTTCGATAGATAGACTTAAAACGATCATTTTCCTCTTTTGTTTTGTACTGTTTTGTGATGATAGTTATGCGCAAAGAATTGCGCAAAGATTACGGCGCTAATACAATACTCAAATTAGAATACTGCAATATTATCAGATGTTACTGGAATTTAGATTCAGATATATTGTTATACCATCAAGGTGAAGTAAAAATGTTGGCAACATTTTATGTTATTGGTAAAATTGGTTTTCACTGAGCAGCGCTTCCTCTTCCTTTTTTGTTCTTCTGATTGCGCAATGAGCTGTAAACTAAAAGAAGGCTAATCATTATGTTTTAATTACAAGTTTACATAGAAAGGTCAGTGGCACTTCCCAGGTTGTTTGTCTACATGTCATTTCCAACAACGTTTCAATTTAATCAAAGGTATTTGATTCTTTGATTCGATTGCAGATGAAGGTGTTAAATACATTATTGGACGAATTACTCCTATCAATCTAGCAGGTAAATATTGTCAGTAAAACAGTCAAGAAAGTTGAAAGCTTTTGATCAATATCTCTAAGATGAGATAAAATAAATTTTCCGTCATGAAACATTTTCTGCTTCAATTGCTGGTCGCCCATTAAAAGGTATTACAGTAGAGGTTATGAATTGTTGTCYATGACTGGCTAYTTGTACGGTGAAGGGTTTTTACCTATATTTTCAGAATTTTCTTTGTCTGCTCTTTTCCTCTCCTTCCGTCTCCCTTTTTCTTCTCTAAGTAATTTTAAAGACATCCTTCATGGGCTAGCTTGCGAGCATCCGTTCTGCTCACGGTTTACTGCACGTCCGCTCACTGAATATTTTGATAGGCAAAATATCGAGAAAACAAAATTTTCCGTCACTGCTTAAATTCTTAAAGCTCTGAAACAAAGTTGGTGACCCCTCTTATTTATTTTATTTTTTGAAAGCAACCTTGAAGATTCACGGTTCCAGTGGCCTCACTGTAAAAAGATCGTTTTTTGTTTTGTTTTGTTTTTGTTTTTGTTTTTGTTTTGTTTTTGTTTTTTGTTTTGTTTTGTTTTTGTTTTGTTTGTTTTTGTTTTTGTTTGCGGTTTTGTGTGTGCGTGTGAGGGTTGTTTGATGATATTCAGTTTCAAATGGCGTAACACCCTCAAGGGGAAGTCAAAATGTTAGCATGTTTAATATCTTTAGTAAACCGAGCTGCCCTTCCTCTTCCATCTTTGTTCTTTCGATTGCGCAACAACAACAACTTTATTTAATGAGGGTGGCATTGAATTACGCTTTTTTGCACTACGGTATTACGCTTGAACAATACAAGCCAATCAGAATTGAGTAGTTTTTTTCATGTATGTTATTACGACAGCAAGCACATCTTTTATAATTGAAACCAGAAAAGAACCCGGGTTGGTG